TGAAACTGCATGAATGTCAATTATACGTAGAGTTCAAAGAAATCTTCCTAATCCTATGCACAAAAAAAAAAAAATCCCTTTTGTGGGGATCGTAAAATAATATTTTTTTTTAATAATAAAAAAAAGCACCGTTAATGTAAGGAGCAGCACTCATAACCAGTCGTGGTCACACCAACCCAATCTTCCTCTTATATGAACAACAAATGATGGTTACAACATATATCTCATAAATTTACCAACCAAAAAAAAAATTTACAACACAATAAATAAAAACAAACAGAAAAATTATTTATTAGCCCAGATAAAAACGGTGCAACTCCAACTGCTCTTTTTACACTTGTCAAGCAGCTGGATCTACCTATTCTCTGGCACCCAGATAACAAATAATAAAGAACAATAATCAAAAGAAGATTATATAATATGTAACAAATAGGATCACAATACCTTATTCTTTTTTAGCTTCAAATAATTGGCTTCCAAGGGTCACAATAGGGGTTCTTTCTCCCATCACTGTCGTCAAGTTTCTTTCTTTCTCACGTATTCGATCAATTTCCATCATCACATAGCTCATTGCAGGTCGTCTCTCACTTGAACTGTCAATACATGGAACTATCAGTGACATAAACTCTTCCATGGCTTCTGCTGTATAATTGCTTCCCATTCTTTCGTCAACTATGCCTGACATAATCCCAGGGTCTTGCTTACTTTGCACCTTCATTGCACCAAAAAATATCAGACACACACATCAAATATCACAATGCTTTATATATATACATGTATATATTAATTGTGTAATTTGTGTTCATTGCTGTGAGTGAGACATGGAGTTCTATATCCATGACATACCCATTCAACTAGATTCTGATTGGAGTCTGAAGATGGTGATTCAGTTGCTTCTCTCCCGCTCAACAGTTCCAGCAAAAATACCCCAAAACTGTATACATCACTCTTTTCAGAATATGTTCTGAATTCTCTCACTCTGAATCAAGAATGTGCCATTCGGAATTTAGAGAAGATGCATAGATGCATGAAAAGAACAGAAACAAATCAAGAGAGATATATACAGGAGCAAGGAAGATTTCATCTGCCGCAGCTTGAGAAGATGGCCCTGCAATTTCAACTCTTCCTAGGATGTTGCGAAGCCCTGCATCTGCAACCTTAGGAATGAAGTTTTCATCCACAAGAACATTGGCTGTTTTGAAATCCTTATGCACCAAACGAGGGCTTAAGGAGTGAAGATGAGCCAAACCTGTGCACAATAGGTCCTATGATGAATGAGCATTTTGAAACGTAAAACCTGTTATGCATACAGGATGTAGTAGGAAATAAATGAGATTTAGGAGGGCTTACAAAATGAATTTTTGGGGTCCATTTAGAAACTTGAGTACTTTTATATAGGAAGAGAGAGAAAAATGATACCAGGAAAGCCACAAATGCTCACTGATTTTGCAGAGGATCACCTTTAGCTGCACCCAGAGCTATGGAAAGTCTATGCTTGAATTCCAGCTTATCACGTGATTGTTGAGCAGCTCCTACAAATAAATAAGTCCCAGGCCTTAGCTTTCAGAAGAAAGTGTATATTAAGCTAAAACAAGACAAAGTACAACTTTACAGCATGCAGGATGATCTTTGCATGCAGGATAAATCCATGGTCCACGGTTCGACTTTGCAGATATACAATACAAAACTTCATTTAAAAAAAAAAGAAAAAAAGTGATACAGTAACTGCACAGAGATTTACCATACAAGTGACTGGAGACGCTCCCATTAGGCACGTACTCATATATGAGAAACTGTAGATTGTTTTCCTGGCAGTATCCCAAAAGAGTTACAAGATTTCGATGTTGAAAGGATGAGAGGAAGTGTACCTGAAGTAAAACTCAGTACTGTTAGGTCAAACCAGGAGAGTAAACAATAAGATATACCCTACCGACTATGTCTATAGGATCCTAATCAAAATTCTCAAGCAGAAACAAACATAAGACAGGAGGAGGACCAGAGAAGTCGGATTGATGAGATTTCTATCTTTCAGGGAGCATGCAGTACTTAAATTATATATTTCTCAGCACCTCATAAAGTGAAGTCTTTTTGGAGCATAATTGAACTGAATGTTACCTCATCTACAAATTCCTGACTAGGAAATCCATGGCGCTTTTTGATGGCTACAAGCATTCCATCATGAAGTAAACCCCTGTAAACCTCCCCAAATTTTCCTTCTCCAATCAGATTTTTGTCACTGAAATTTTTTGTAGCGTGAAACAGTTCTTCAATCTCAAAACGCCTAGCATCTCTTACTGTTAACTCTATCCCACCATGTCTTCCCACTGCACGAATTGAGGCCAAAACCAAGAATTGATTGTTCTTTGTATCATTAGAACCACCTTAAGGAAACTTGCAAGTGTTGGTTATACAAGAATATTGTTGTTACCTTGGGAAGGTTCAGAGGACCCTGTCTCTGAATTTCTAGAAACACTGCTCTTGTGAAACAGGCAGAACCATATCAGTAGTATAACTATCCCTACCAATGCCACGGCTCCTGCAGCTCCTCCAACCGCTGCTGCAAGATTTCTTGACATCTGATAATGGGGATCACTGCAATTCTGCTGTTCAATATTGTGCTGACTCTATACACATAAGAACCTGGAATCCAACATGTAGCAGAAGATCACAATCTATTGACGGTGAAACTCAAGCTCAGATTGAAGATGTGACATATTGCAAATGAAGAAGGCATGCAGTTAGTATACCTCCTACAGTTTGCTAATGATAATGAGGTTAATGAATAGTTTCAAGCAAAAAGACCAGAAAATTTGGAAACTAGTTGAGCTCCAGCTAAATGTATGTCTGGTTCTAAATGACACCTTGACTGATATTTTATCTGCATGTGGTTGATAAATTGAACAGAGAGCCACTTTTTTGTCCAAATCAGAGGAGCTGTGTTACCAGATAAATGATGAGGCAGGATCTCAGAAAGCCAGAGCTTCATTTACCAACGAGGATTCGATTTAGGCTCCAATGCACCATCACCGAAATCGAGATTCATCCACATTCCCCCATATGAAGCAGTTGTCTGTCTTTGATACAAACTAAACAACCAAACAGAGAATTTCAATAACACAACAAAGCAGAAAGTAGGGATTTTAGCATCAAAAGCATAAACAAAACCGCTTTCAGATCAGACACAATTCTTGGAAGTTTCAGTTGTTACCAAGACAAGACAAGACTCGCGAGGTCCAAATCAATGTGTTTCTTCAAAGGTGGTGATCAGTGGTGACACTCTGTAAGCAATGAAAACCCAGAAGAAGAACCACGCTCTCGATCTCCGTTGTACTTTTATTAAATTAATTAGAAATGCTCTCTCAGTGTACAATCGTCGGATGCAGACAATGCCGACAGAAAGTGACCTTGCGCCGACAGCACACTACAAGATTTATTACCAAACAACCCAATTCAAAATCATCAGCATATACATAGAGCTCTCGAAAACTAAGAAGCCTTTTATTCTTTTATTGTGACCAGCTGACCAAATTCAATTCTCTCAGAGTTGAACTCAATTTGAAATAGAACAAAGACCAGAATAGGAGGTGAATAATAACAACAAGCACAACCACAACCACCAAAATAATAATATATGAGGACACGCAGGGACAAGACGAAGAATTTATTTAATTTTATTCAGTTTCAATTTTCTTTTTTGGGGTGTAAAGAGGCACAATTGTTGTATCGTATCTCTATCACATCTGGCTGGGGGCTGCCTGTCACAGATTCACGCTGGTAATACAACAGCACAGAGAAGAGAGGGGTGGGGAGAGGTAGAGAGAGAGAAACAGCCCAGTGGAGGTGCAAAAACGCAATGATATAGCTACGTATTTACATAAAGATAATATTTTTATACTGAAAGAGGAAACAACATCAACGGCTGAGAAATGAGAGAAAGGAAAGGGCATAGCTGTGGTTTGTTTGTATTGTGGGGTTGCTGTACCCCACCAGCCAGCTATGTTGACGTTGCTCCTACTGAGCATTTTGATTTAGTGCTTATCATATTTATACAAAGTGAATAAAATTTAGGACAAAGCAAAGAATCATATGTAACGGCCAGCCAGCTCTGCGGCTGTACTGTACCCTTTTAGCTTTTTTTTTCTTTAAGTTCCTATTTCATTCACCAGTACCAACACTTCGGATTCTTAATCTTATCGTTGGGAGAGAAAACAAAAAAAAAAAACCAAAAAACAATGCTTGTTAATATTTTATGATATTATAGGTCAAGAGAACTCCCCAGAAATGTAGCAGTTGAGGGATTTAACTGTTCCCCCTTTTTTTAAGGTTGCCTTTCTTTCTGTGAAGAAGTAAAACCAGAGAAGTAACCTTGTGGGGGTTATATCAGCAGCGACGTGAACGAAACATGGGATGATTGGCTGTGATTTGAAAGATTCTTGACTTGATGAAAGCGGAAACTATTTTGGCTCAATGATTTGGTTCCCTTTCTGGCTTACCAATTTATGAAATTCCACTCTGTAATCGGATTTCTCTTTTGTTTCTGGTTTTTCTGGTTTGGTTTGGCCCCTTCTGTCATCATCGTTGGCCCTGTGTCAGTGTATTCACTCAACTGGATTTGCCTGATATTTAGATTCAGCAGCCTCCTCTTGCCATTCTGTGCAGCTCAGTTAACAGTAACCGCACACCCTTCAGAATTATGAAAGAGATCACTCACCTCATAATAGATCCGTCAAACTTTTCAGACAGTATAACTAGTACAGCCCCACAAAGATCACGTCTTTATGGACCAAGATGATGCACAGTTACCTATTTGTGAAAACCCTACTACTACTACTACCTCAGTCACCTTTTTCGTTTTCTCTTTCTTCCTCTTTACGCCTTCCCTGCTATCTGGACAAATAATTCAGAGTGTATTTCTAGTTTCTACCCTGTTTGCAAACTGTGGAGGCTTGATTGAAGAACCTTTTTCACACCCCATAAAGGGTTAAGTTGATAGGAGTTAAAGGAGGCTCATAAATGGGCGAAAGACGATCCTTTTTTTTTTTAGAATTGTTTAGTGCTAATCAAACTACAGTTCTTGAACGGCATCTATCACTTCCCTTACCAACTTGTGATTTGTGACTCCTAAGAACCTTTGATAAGACCTCACCACCAATGCGACTATTATTACTGTGAGCTCCATTAATTATTCCCCTGTATTATTATATGATGGCTCTCGAGAAGCCTTTCTTCTATTTTATTGATTTCTCTTTTGGCCGTTTTGCGAGATCGCTCACTCCGAGGGCGATTCTTCTGGGATTGTAATATTGAGTCTGTCACGAGACCACAGGGAGCTTGAGGTTGAAGCTTTGAAGGTAGGTAAATGATACTTCTGTGAGAATTCAATTATTGAAATAATTTAGACTGAATATTTATATTTGATGAGTGTGTGACACCGAAGGACTTTTAAAGTCTTAAATCAATGTTTTATCAAACTTTTCTAAATTTTTTTAAATTAAAAGTGTTGAAATTATCAACTCAAGCTGCAATGATTAATAGAGACTATATTTTAGGCAAGGGACTGGAGATTTGATTAACTTTTTGTGTATTGAGTAAACCAAATCCTAACTACAAGGGATGCGTGCTTTAGACTCTCTATCTCAAGATTAATTTATGGAGGTAAGTAATTTATACTCTTTCGATCTTTAGTATATAATTTAATTTGAGAGTTAATGTTTGTCTTAATTGTATATAAATTTATTTTACATGTTTATTTTTTTTAAATTAATATTATTAAAAAAAATATCATATTAACTAAACCTGTTAACTTTCTTAATCTAATTAAATTAGTTAATTAGGTCATACATTAAGTAATGGGAGTGTAATTTACACTGCTACAGTGCTCCTGATTATTTTGAGAATGTCATAGAAATGCGGAAACATACTAAATATCATAAAATATTAAAATGATGAGATAATAAATATTTTTTATCAGCAAAGATTACGAAGATATCATAAAATCAGAAACATAATATTGAATAATGATATTTTAATTATTTTAACGCAGAGCAAAATAAAGTATACTGTTTATAAAAATTCTACAAAATAAATTATTTTTTATAAAATTACTAAATTGTTTTAAAAATCACGTTTTTTTAAAATTAAACAAGCTGCGCCATAATATTAGAAAAGTATTAAAAGTAGATTCATGAGGTTCAGAATTCAGATATCCCTTGGTATTGGATAGATAAGATAAAATATCCATTATTGTGAGTATTACGACCGTTGACTAATTATGAAGGCAGTCAATCAAGGACGATCCTCTGCGGAGGCTAATGGGCTTAGTTCTTCCCTCGAGCTCCAACAGAAAATAACTTGTGCTTATAAATTTACGATTCTATATTATATTATTACATATATCCATCAAAGTTCGAAGTTTTTAACAGTTTTATGCTGGTCTTAATAGCATCCTTGGGTCTTGTGAAATGTTTATTCTAGTCTGTGCTTGAGGATTTTCAATAGTTTGTTTTATCATTCAAAGCCAATGAAATTGCCTCAACCACACAGATCCAGGCAACCTTATTTAAACCAGTGAAATTATTTTTACTTTAAACCCTGACGTAATCATCAAGCAAAAAAATATGGGAATGTACGTTTTAACTAAAATGCCAAAACAAAACGTTGATTAATGATATTTTAAATCAAAGTATATTTTTAGTACTTTAATTTTATATAAAGTTTCAATTTCGTATCTTAACTTAAAAATATATTTTTTTAATTATTTAGCCCGAAAACTATTAATAAAAAAGTAATGATACTGAGATATTAAATGTTTACAAATCATTTTCAAATTCTAACATATAAAATCTAATTTTCAAAACAGCTATGATATATATGTATATATGATTGTCTCAAAAAAATTATCATTTAATATTAACAATTTTAGAGATTAAATGATTAAAAATGTACTTTTTAGATTAAGCACTAAACTAAAACTTTATATAAAGTTCTATGATCAAATCTATTCCTTAACTAATTTTTTTTTTTTGGACTCAATAACTAATATTTTATTATTACTTATTATTTTATTTTAAAATATTATTTGAATCTTAAATATAATATTTAATTTGTAATGTATTGTGCATCATAAACCATATCTAGAGCAGAAGGAGAAGGAGGCGGTGGACTGGTGGTATTAAATTCATTTTTGTTACGACAAACGGGGCATAAAGCTGAATTTCTTACGCGTCGTGCAGAAGATCCGAGAAATCTGAAATGGGTCCTGCAGGGAGATACGGGTGTCTTTGCTTCCATGATCGCCTGATCCTTTTTTTTTTTTTTTTTATGAATTGAGATCTCTCGTACGTCTCTACAAGTACACACACGCAGAAGAGTGCGTTATTTTTGTCAGATTGCACGCCAATGGCTTGGAACGGTACAATGGCATGTGTGTAATTTTTAATATTTCTATTGGGCTGAGTGCTTGCAATCCTTTGCCGGGCCTGCAGGCCGAAAGCCCATCAAAACTGGGCTCATCTGATTTCCTACAACCTGCAGTGAATACGGGCCTAATCTAGTCCACCTAGGTGATTTTAGTAAATCGCACAGAAATTTATTTCTTTAAAATTATATAAATTTCTCCTCCATTTTCTAAGCATGAGCAGTTCTTTTCTGAAATAAAAACCATCCCAACCCTTTAGTCTAATTTTTTTCCCACTAAAATTAAATACGCACCATTATACTAAACACACACACACACACACTAGAAATTCCTGGAAAACAAGAGGCTGTGTTCATTTATTACTGTGCTTCCTCGCTATTTATATGATCCTGTTCCACTCGCCTCTTGCATGCGATTAAAACAGTCCTTTGCAGTTATTGCATGTGCAAGATACAAAATACTCGGTGAGCAAGCAGTTAAGGCCTTATTTAGATTTGTGAGTTTTTCAATTTATATGTGAGAGAAATTTTGACTCAGTTTATATGAAACATGCTTATAAATACTTTAATAAATAAAAGATATAAATAATGCCTAACAAAAGGCGATAGCCCGTATACCTTTTTATTTAGATATTGAGAAACTGTCAAGGATGATGGTCATGAAATTATTTTTTATTTCCATCGATCGTTTAGTGGGATTCTTAAGAACGCGGGGCTTGCTTCCCTCAATAACTGTATTCAGTATAATAATATAGACAGTAACTGAAAACTAATTATAATTACTCTTTCTGTCCTAAATATAAGATCCTTATAAGTGTGTATAAGGATCTTATATTTAGAATCGGAGGAGTATAATAAAATTGTTATAAACAGACATTGCAATAATGGCAACGCTGAATAACAGAGGATATATAGAGAGAGAGAGATGACCTCATGTAAATTTGGTGCATGATAGAACGAGAAGGAGCATAATATGAAATAATTCAAGCGTAATAATAATAATAATAATGAAGGGCGAAAACCAAGCTGTGTCTGGGGATGGAAGCAGCCTTTTTTTTGGGGGGGGGGGTTGTGGAATGCTGGAAAGGAGCGGTTGGTAGTTACCAAACGGAACCGTTACGACAGACCTTACATTTGTGATTTGTGAGATAGGAATGGACAGTTCCGTCGAGTATAGTGGCAGAGTGGGGGTGGGTAGGTGGCTGGCGGTCTTCTCCCACATCACATGTGATTCGCATTATGGCCTTTTCAGTTTAACCCCCACCTTCGCTTCCCGTGATGTAATTGTACGCGACTGATGCGCCTCCCACAATAAATATAAATAAATAAATAAATACACCCCCAAAAAGCTTTAATTAAACACTTGTTTGTTTCATTATCTCTACTTTTCATGCAAATATCTGACGGCAAAAGGTACGTTTCATAAGAAAGCCACAGATTAAATTAAAGGATATATCGAGTTTCCATATACTTATTCAACAAGCTAAGCTAAACAAGGCGCATCTCACATCCCAGTCGCGAGCTCTCCCCTTACTCTATTTTGTCTGGCTTACATAAATTTGTGACACATACATTAAGGCAGTATTTGAGCAATTCCAGAAGTATTTTTCAACAGTAATTTTTTTGATAAATTGAAATAATTTTTTTTACATATTTATTTCGTATATCGTAAAAATACTTTTAAAATCATGATTTTGTTTCTATTTCAGACGGTCTCTAAAACTTGAATCGGATTCACAATAGTCTTGATCGTGTATGTTAACCTAATACTTGGCTATTCCACCTCGTTGGGCAGGCGCATATGATTACACGTTTTCTAACAAACCTATTAAAAGAAGGTAAGGCCAGGGAGCCATTGGATTGTGACACAACGTAACAACATTCTAAAGATCGCCCACAACTACTTCACCCATTAAAGTAAT